AAAATTTTCAAGTGCAATGTTTCAAATTAAATGTAATTCGTCTGCATTTGAGGGGGCGCGTTGGAGATATTAATACTAAATGATACATTTCACTAATATCAAGACTCAAGTGAAATGAAAGGTCATGAGTTCGAATCCCACCACCACCCAATTCAAATATTTCAAGTGCAATGTTCAAATGTAATTCGACTGCATTTGAGGGGGCGCGTTTGAGATGGTCATTCAACAAGATGTTTTTTTTTTCTTTTTTCTTTCTATCAATTTTTTTTTTTTTTTGCATTTTGTAGTTTCGAAATGATCATGAATATATTTTTTTTTATTTGACCGACATCCTAAAAACATACACTAAAAATATTAAATTACCTTCATTAGCTTTAAAAATTCATTCGGTGTGCATTATGCATGCATGGTTTACTATTTTTCGAGGGTACAAAGTATTATTACTATTTTTCAAGGGTGCAAAGTGCAGAAGTGCTATATTTCAACGGTGCAAAGTGAAATTAAGGCAAACATACACACTGGCTACAAATGTTCTCTAGAAATACTATTACCTCTCAAATAGAAATATATGATGTACTCCTTCCGTCCCATATTATGTGACGTTTTGGATGGTTACACGTATATTAAAATTGTCAATAAATATACATGGGCTATAAAAAAAATAATATTAAGAGTAAATGGATAACAATTCAGTTAATGCCTTTTGAAACTCTAAAAAAAAATGAAAAAAAAACACATAATATGGAAGTAATATATGATTAGTGGAAGTGAGATTATTACTTAATTGTTGTTTTCTTGCCGACAACCCTAAATTCTAAAACGGTCGTTAGGACCAAAGTTGGCCTTTCGGGAAAAGCTACAAGTTCCCAAAAAAGCAGTTTTCAACATATCTACACCATAGTTCTGCGCTCAAAAGCAGCAGAAAAAAGCTGATGCAAGAGACAAATAATCTAAAGTATAATAAAATAAAATAAAATAAAATAATAGATATAAAAATATATTGGGCCATCCATATATGGTGACATAACAGTTGAAAGAAGTTTGATAACACCGGCCTAATGCGTGTCCGTCTCTCATTGGTGGATCGACGTCTGCTGTCTGCATCATCAGCATCATGTTGATGACTATGGATATATATCATTGCACGTGTACCCCCATTTAGAGATATTATTATTTTTGCTATTAATTTGTTTATTGCATACGAGCTTAGCCGATTCTGACCGTAGGCGAGAGAGGTGGTTGCATCAGAGACGTCTAATTTTTGGAGTAATTAGGGGTTTCGAAATACTCTCTATGTTCCACAATAACTGTCTCTTTTTAAAACTATTTTTGTTTAATATTATCTGTCACTTTAGATTTCCAATACTGCATTAAATGCATTTTTCCTGTTTTAACCTTATTAATGAAACTCTAATCATTATTTTTCTCTTATAAATCATTAAATATTAAAGGTTGTTTTAGTCATTTCTATATGATTTTTCTAAAATCAAGATATATTTATTGAGTTTCTTAATCTTTGTGAAAAGTGAAAAGAGACACTTATTTAGAAACTGAGGGAGTAATGTTTTGTATGCTTTATATATACTAGTCTATTTAATTAAATGGTATTTAAAAGATATGAATAATTCAATAATTTGATAACCATAAATATACATTTACATAGTTTAAGTATTTGTTGAAAATTTTACACTTATTTTTGCACTTGATGTGAAGGAAATGTCTTATATCAAGTATAATTGGTTAAATATTGAGTTATTCTATCGAATTTTCATCTAAACTTTTTTTTTTCAACAATCTTTGCATTTTTTTTTAATAATTTACATGCATATCTCTAACTTCAAAGAGTTTCAGTAAGTTGAAATATTATATTACATATATTCACTTGATAAATGATATTTCTATGACTATTTTTTAAAAGACTTCAGGGCTCTTTCGCGGACACTGTAAACTTTTGATTTATCTTAACGCTGGCCATGTTTATCAAAAGTTTTTAACTCCTAATCAAAATGTTCTAATTCATTTATGTTCATTAGAATAAATTAATGTACAAAGAATAAATTAATATGTACATTATACAGTACAAATTCATATGATCTCTTTAGTATTTGAAATATTGACAAAAGGCCAAATCAGCTTAAACGAAATCTTCATTTAACAGGGCCCAAAATAGAGGAGAAAATGCCCAATAATGTAGTCTGGCCCATGTGCATGAATTGACCCAAATCAATATTCAAAAATTAAAACAAACTATCATTTTGATGTATAGTTTGGTAAGTTTTTCAAATATCTAATATAATTTTTTGTCTTATAATTGAAACAAATCCAAACTTTAAAATCGAAAAAAATTATATATATTTTCTATATTTGACTATTTAAAAAGTCAATACGCAATACGAGGGGGTACGAGAGGGGTGTATCATAAGGGATTTGCCTTTTCTATTGATTCCTACGGATTGGATCAAAAACAATTCTTGAATGAGGCCAGGGATGAATCGAAAAAGAAATCATAGGTCCAAGATCTACATCTATGAATTGAAAGGTCCGAATGATCAACTCTGCAATCAGTTGTTAGAATCAATAGGTCTTCAAATTGTTCATTTGAAAAAATGGAAACCCTTCTTATTGGATGATCATGATACTTCCCGAATACTCGTAATAACCTTAATCTATTGAATGTCAGAAAAGAAAAATAGAAAAAAATAGTTGAAGGCATTTAATTTTTTTAAAGATCTATCGGACTGTCGCAACATTCTAGTACGAAAAAAGGCGAAATTCCTCGTCCCCAGGGCCCCTATCCCTTGGCCTGACAAGTATTTGATAGAGGAATGTAAATCATGGTAACCCAACTTATTTAATTTGTTTGCCAAAAAAAATAACTTATTTATTTTTTTGTTGCAAAGTAAAAAAAATTAAAACATATATTTAAAAAAAAAACATTCTTAAGAAAAATTTAAAAAAACTATTCAAATAAATAAAAGTAAAAAAATAGAAAAGAAATTTATTAAAAACTTAATAAAAATAAAAATAAAATATTTTTTTGGAAAAAAATAATAATATAAATAATATAATTAAAAAAACTAATAATATGTAAGGATAGTTCGATCATTTTAAGTAATTGGGATAACGTAAGAGAAACCAAAAATCATACACTATTAATTAACTATATGACTTGAAAAAAATCAAAATTTAATAACAAACACTTTATTATGTTATAGGTCTAATTTATTTATGGGTTAGTATGCTAGCACTCTTTTATACCAAACTTTATGAGAGCTAGAATACAACCATAATTGGCACTTGGTAACGATATCCTTATTTAGAAAATGAAAATGATGTACACCGGTAATTTTTCTTTTTATCCCAAGTTTACCCATAATCCCTTAATCCTTATTAACTTCTAGATATACTCACATTTTTCTCTCATATATATTTATCTTTTTTGTTCTCTTTTCAATCTCTGTCTCTTTTGCTCTCTATCTCGCTCTCTTGCCTTCTCGCCCACCAATCGATGGTCGAGGGAGGCGGTGGTTGTGGCAATAGCGGTGATGATGACCGTGGTAAGGTGGTCACAGTTATGTGGATGATTATGGCAGTAGCGGAGGCGGTGACTATGGCAGCGACCATTGGAGGCGGTGGTGTGAGGTCAGATGACGGCGGGAGGTGGCGATTATGACAATATACGTTGGAGATGGTGATGTGAGGTTAGATTGACGGTGGGAGGCGGCTGCATCAACCTATGATTCTTTGACGACCCTAGGGTTTAATTTGGTGGACGGCTAAGTTTTGGTAGATAGGGTTTGACGGTGGCTGGGGTTTCGCGGCGGGGCCGTAAATTTTTGGCTGCTAGGATTTGGCGGTGGCTGGAAGTTGTTGGGTGTTAGAGTTTGCCAGTGGTTTGGGAGTTGTTGGCTGTTAGGAGTTGTTGGCTGTTAGGGTTCAGAATAGTTAACCAAAGTAAGTCATAGTGAACCATACACATAGTACACGATAGTATACTACATTCCGCTGTACATTATATGAACATACCTAGGGCGTGTAGAATGAAATTCAAGTTTTAGATTCATCTAACTGAGGATGTTAATAACGGATGACTAGATTTATCGACCAAATTTAAAATAAAAAATAATTAAAAAACATGTAATTTAATTAAAAAATGAAAAAAAACATGTTTTATTTTGTACTTTTCAATATTATGTAAAAAAAATAAGAAAAAATTTATTTTTTATAATAGTGTAAAAAATGCTAAAGTAGAAAAAAAAACAAAAAAATGATTAATTTTGTAAAAAAAATTAAAATTGTTAGATGCAGATATTAAATGTAGAATATTAAAATAATAAATGCAATTTGAATTTTACTTACGGTATATTTCGAATTTGTGTGTTGAGGGATACCTTTGGAATTGATTTAATAAATGATGTGAAACGAATGTTTAGTTGAACTTGTCATTTAGTTCTAATAACTTTTCTCATTGAAGACCTATATCTTAAGACCCCTTAATTTGTAGTGTCTTATCTTGGCTAACTATGTGCGCTCTCACATATTATTTTAACTGCGTGCACACGTGCGTATATTTTGAACCTTGACCATCTACGTCGTCTCGTCTTCTTAACTCCAATTCAAGATAACTTTATCTAGGTGTAACTTGTTACACATGGTTAACGTAATGCGGTTTACATCTCTCGTATGCTTTTCAAACCATTATACGAAAGTGTAGGTTTATCCAATGTACATATATTGTCAGCTGCAGTTCCTTCATATCCCAAAATAAAAATAAAAATAACTTCATTAGAGACAATTTTAACACAATCCATTTAATATTATTCAATATTAATTTAGTCGAAATCATAGTAACCATGAAAATTTCAACAAAAGAAATATGTAAGAGTTTCTAATAATCAATTTAAATCCCATTCACAAAGAATTAATTTATTAGATTCAAATTATTTACACACAATAAATTAATTAATTACAATTAAAAACGACAAGAAGAACCAATAAATTGCTCTTTGATTGTGGCCCCCCCGCTCCAGCAAAAACTGGATTTACAAGCAAATCTTTGTTTGGTTTTCCTGATTATCTTCTTTCAAGTCAACAAAACGCCATTCACCACCGGCCACCTGTATGCCGATAAACTACAATACGCGTCCACATTCCGCCGGAGATTCCGATTCCGATTCCACTTCGCCTTCTTCTGCCTTTTGATTCCATTGGGCCAAAACCCGCAGGCAGCCATGGCAGATCGGCGTCCCAAATGGGTGAAAGAAGAGTTCCTGACGTACATCTATATCCTCATCTACATCGCTCTCTCCAGCGGCCAGATCTTCTTCAACAAGGTTATTTACCCGTTTATCTATTCTCTCCATTTTCATTGATTTCGAACTTTTTCTAATTGGCATTTTGTCGAACACTTGGTGGGATGATGCTTAATCGATCCGGTTTTTTGATATTTAAATCCGCGGAATGTGGCTCAGTTTTTTTTTTTTTTGCTGTAATTTATTATCTATGAGCTAACTAACTTGGGTCTTGCGATCATCAGCCAGTTAGCTTTTTAACTATGGTTTGATTTTGGGGATGATACTTCACTATTTCACTGTTAGAAGTGAACCCTTGTTTATTTTTCCGTTTAGCTATCCATTTCTCAAATGTATATGCTTGTGTGGGAGTAGATTTTAGTGTTGAACTTTTCAGCTTGGCATTTCGTCGAACATGTGGTGGTATGTATGCTAAATCGATCTGTTTTAATCTTTAAATCCACTGAATATGCAGGGAAAGAGGAAACGTTTGAGAATATGTGCTCCGTTTTTTGCTATATTTATCTGTCAGCTAACTGACTTCGCTTTTATAAGGATGGTTGTTGTGATCAGCTTGTCGGTTGTTACCCATAGTTAATAGGGGGGTTGATACTATGTGAAAGTACCTTTAACTTCTAGAAATGAATTCTTGTTTTTCCGATAGGTATTTCATTTTGTGGATACATTTTACTAACATACGGACTTCGGTTTAGGATGTGTATAGGGCCAAAGGAATGCTACATAATTATATTCTGAAAAATTACTATGAAATGGAAATGATGTTCATCGTGTCACAAATAAACTAAATTCTCTAACTTTACCCTCTAATGAATAAGTACTAAGCTTTGACAAAGAGGAGATATGTTGTAAATTTCTCCACATTAATGATGGACAAGTTTCGATTTCTTATATTTTATTGGGAGGTAGAAACGGAGAATTCTTGATTCTGGACTTGTTTTATTGATACGTTTTCGGTTTTGAGGTTAATCGTGAAGTTTTACTTGATAAAATGTCACAAAACCATAATTATATATTTCATGGAATTATCGACTCATTTTTTTTTTTGCTGACCTATTTTTCTCCCAACTGTGAACTATACGCCAATCGAATAACTTTTACCCCCGCAAGTATATAATATACACCTTCAATGTAGCAGTAAAATATTTCGATTCTCTTATTTGTAAATTATGTGCGACATATGCTGCTTTTTTACAAGGGTCTTCTCCCTTTCTCTCTCACTTGTCGCATATTTTTGGACTGTGTGACGAGGAAAAAACAAATCTTGGTGCTAGTTGCTATGTCAATTATTTGTCAATTAGTGTTATTGTTTTCTTTTTCACATGGCTAATGCAGTTCGACAAAATTTCACCAAATGCAGTGGGTTTTATCGTCGAAGGAAATAAACTTCCCGTATCCTCTCGGATTGACACTGCTTCACATGGTCTTCTCCTCTGTTCTGTGTTTTGTACTTACCAAAGTTCTCAAGGTAATAATCTTTCCAAAACGAAACTTTTATAATTTGGATATTTAGCATTATCAGTAATTAATATATATTAACTTTTACTTTTCTTCAGATAATGAAAGTTGAGGAAGGAATGACTTTGGATATGTGAGTATTCATATATATATATATATGCATTATCTACTATGCATAGATATTACCCATACAGGTTTTGTGTATCTCACATGTATTAATATATTTAATATAAATTATTTGTAATATTATCTTTTAAAAAGACAAGCTCTGAGTGTTACAGATACGTATCTTCAGTTCTCCCGATCGGTGCGATGTTTGCGATGACACTGTGGCTCGGGAATACTGCTTACCTCTACATATCTGTTGCGTTCGCTCAAATGTTGAAAGCAATCAGTACGTACGATCTGGCATATTTTATTTAATTTTTTATTTAATTTAATTTAATTTTATTTTATTTAAACTTTTTTTTTTGTTTTTTAGTGCCGGTGGCCGTCTTTATTCTGGGGGTATTAGCCGGGCTTGAAGTGATGAGTTGCAGAATGCTTCTAATAATGTCGGTAATCAGTTTTGGTGTATTGGTTGCATCTGTGGGAGAAATAAGCATTAATTGGGTCGGGGTCGTTTACCAGATGGGAGGTGTTGTCGGCGAAGCTTTGAGGCTAATATTCATGGAGATTTTCGTTAAACGTAAGGGCTTAAAACTTAACCCTATTTCCATGATGTACTACGTTAGCCCCTGCAGGTAAAAAAATTTTTGGTGTTTTTTTTTTTTCCCCTTCGAGCTTATAATATTATTTGAATTTTTTTAATGAATTTTCTTTTGATATTCTTTTAATTAATGTAGTGCCGTTTGCCTCTTATTACCGTGGATATTCTTGGAGATGCCTAGAATGGATGCACAAGGAACATGGAACTTCAAACCACTTGTTCTAACACTTAATTCTCTTTGTACCTTCGCGCTCAATCTTTCGGTTTTTCTCGTAATTTCGCATACGAGTGCTTTGACTATTCGTGTGGCTGGTGTTGTCAAGGACTGGGTCGTGGTTTTACTCTCGGCCCTTCTTTTTGCGGATACAAAATTGACACTTATCAATCTCTTCGGCTATGCCATTGGTAAGTATGATTTTTGCCTTTAAACTTTAATTTACTCTTGTTGAAGTAATACCAATGTGGTTCGGTTTTGTTATTCTTCGTTATGTGTGTTAGAATATAAAAGTAGAGAGAGTTCGGATTCGATCGGATAGAATAGCCAAACGGTTTTATTATAGAATAGCCAAACGGTTTTATTATAGAATAGCCGGATAAGAATAATAGATAGAGATACAATATTGAATGAAACCACTCTCTTATATAGAGTTCGAAAAAGACTCGAAACTAGGAAAAGCTTTCTTCTCTTCACCGAGACAGACGTAAATCTACTACTCCCTTTTCAGATATTATTTGTCGTTTTGGAGAAATTTTTTCGTTTCAAAATAATTTCTCACTTTAGAATTCGAATGAAACATTTATTATACTTTTTCAATTTTGCCCTTACTACACGTAATTTATTGAGATGATTTAATGGTGAAACAATTCATAAGAGGGGTTTTTTAGTCATTTTATTAGATTTTTCCTCGTGCACAAATATTAATTTTCTTAATACGTGCGTGTGCATTACCAAAAACAAGAAATAAAACGGGAAGGACGGAGTAACATACTAACGTAAGATATACAAGAATTACCTAATAGAATAAATTCATATTCTAAGACGAATACATAATTATATTCTAACAATGTGATTCCACATTTTTTGGTGCGTCACTTTCGGAGCTTATAGACCCGAAAGCTTAATATTGTGTGTTTATTTTTTCTTATAGACATATCGTAATTTCAATGAGCTCTCTTTGTTTGTGGTGCTTTATTGTAGTGTGTTGATTTTCACTTCACATATGAGCCAAATAAGTATCGAAAAATTTAACGAAAAAGAGTGTATGGTTAATGCAGCTATAGCCGGGGTAGCTGCGTACAACAACCACAAGTTGAAAAGGGAAGCTTCTCGAGTTAACTCGGATAACTCTGCTGAGTCGATCCCACTCGTTTCGACTTCAACCTCAAATCAATGAACCCAGGAAATACAAGTGTTGAAAAATCCGCTGGTTTCTGAGCGAAATTCGTCCTTCGAGTTTCGTAACTCTATCGTGAGAAAACAAAAGTGTTCGGTGGCGATGAACGCGTATACAGGCAACAGAGAATATATTGGAGAAACAGTGAATGACAAAGTTAAATTCCTCGGCTGATACCGTGATCTTTGTAATATGATTCTTTTTTTCTTTTTTTTTTTTCGTTTGCGATGTTTCAAATTGGAATTTGGAACACCACTGTAATTGTAGCTTAACTGTAAAGTTGAGACGTACAACCTTCGTTTTTGTGCAGAAAGGTTGGCAACATTTCCTCAGTACGGCCTCAATACACATGTCCTCGATAATTGTATTTTTATTTTTTATTTATTTTTAATCTTTAATTTCACGTACTGACTCGTGTATTTTTATTGAAGCAACAGACGGGATCACATTCTCGTGAAAGATTCATTCTCCGACAAATATGATTATGTTTTCATGTAATATCTATGACATTATTAGAAACTCTCGAACCCATTAAATTTGATACATTACAGAAACTGCAACGCGGTCAGATTTATTCGGCCTTAACAATTAACAAAGTGTTTGGCGTCTCATACTCATGCATAATGCGCGGAAGTCGATCTTTGACTTTCCGCAGCTCTGCCAAAGCTTCTTTCATGTTTATCCTATCACCCGCAGATTCTGCAGAGCACTTCAAAGCCAACTCAAGAATGGACGTTACACAATGCCGGTTTTCCTTCAACGATTGTTCATTCAATAAATTGGCATCAATAACATCACTCGATGACCGGTGAATCGAGCTTTCGACCCAACTCTTTAAGCTCAAACCCTCCACAAACATATCATCACTCGGCCTTTTTCGTGTAAATGTTTCCATAAGCATCACCCCGTAACTATAAATGTCACACATTGTAGAAACAAGCCCTTCCGAACCATACTCTATATTATAACAATAAAAAGAATCATACCATTATAAGTAATCTAATCAATATATAATTAAAGTATGCATAAAAGGAATAGTGGGAAAAATAAGATTTACCTGGTGCAATGTAACCCATTGTTGCTAGGGTGCTTGTGTGCACAACGCTCTCGCCTTCGCCTAACAACTTTGCGATCCCAAAATCACTCACATGTGCAACCATTTCGTCGTCCAACAAGACATTGCTTGGCTTCAAATCGCAGTGAACAATTGGTGTCGAATAGCCATGGTGAAGATATTCCAAAGCAGATGCAACATCAATCATTATATTCAATCTTTGCACGAGATCCAAGCAATAGTTGTGTGAATATAGCCATTTATCGAGGTTTCCGTTCGGCATGTATTCAAGTACAAGTGCCTTGAAATCCTTGTTCGAGCAACTGCTAATAACTTTGGTGAGATTTCTGTGACGGATAGTACGTAGTACCTCACATTCGACATCAAAGCTCTTGGAAACAGCTTCCGATAGCGAGTCGAACACCTTTACAGCCAAAACCTTCCCATCTTTTAGAACACCTTTATAAACGGATCCAAAACCCCCGCGACCTAGTAAATTCGTCTCGCTGAAGTGTTCAGTTGCTTCTAACAGTTCATAATAAGAAATTCTCTCGGGCGCAGCAGATAAAATCCCATCGATTGCACCGATTGCCGTGTCTTTTCTTTTGTGCCTTATGATGACGATGACGGTCAAACCGACGACGGAGATAAATGCGACAATCCCAGCAAGAATAAATAATGCCAAGTGTGCCCTTTTCATTCTTGACCCGTGTTTGGGAACATTTCGGATGCAACGTGGTACATGGAATCTTTCGTTTCCACATAATGCATCATTACCCTTAAAAGAATCCATAGTGAAATTTACGAAAGGACCACCGGTCGGAATTTCTCCGCTCAAATCATTAAAAGAGATATTCAAGTAGTCGAGGTGTTGAAGTGTTTCCAAAGACTTCGGGATCGAACCCGAGAGGTTATTATAAGACATGTCTAGACTTACCAAACTTATCATGCTCCCGATCGACTCAGGAATAGAACCTTCTAGAAAATTATTCGCCAAAGACAAATTAGTCAACGATATTAACTTCCCGATCGTGCTCGGAATAGACTCCGACAACTGGTTTATCGATAGATTTATCAGAGTTGCCGACACTAAATTACCTATTTCAGGAGGTAAAAATCCACTGAACGAATTCGACGACAAGTCTAGCTCCAGCAAATCGTTGAGGCCCCACACACTAGATGGTATGCTCGAACTAAACATGTTGGAATCTAGAGAGAGAGATCTTAAAGATGCGATACTTCCTAAACATTCCGGTATCACACCGGAGAATTTATTACGGCTTAAACGTAATTCGACCAAACTCCGTAGATCACACATACCCTCCGGAATGAAACCTCCGATATCATTGTTTTGCAGATATAATCCTTGAAGCTTCCGCATGTTTTTAATAGAAAGTGGAATGTTACCGGATAACTCGTTATCGGTTAAAGAAAGTCTCACGATGCCGCTTAAATCGCCAATTTCTAACGGGACACTACCCTTAATACCACAATTGGAGGCGTGGAACATTTGCAACGACGTAGAAAAGTTTCCAATGGAAGCTGGAATGAAGCTGTTTAGAGGATTATGATCTAACACAAGCTGTTTTAGAAATCGGCAATTTGTTAAGGAAGTTACGAAGCTCATTTCCGAAGAAGATGGTTCGGTTCTTAGATTGTTGCCGAATAGGTTAAGAGTTTCTAGGAGTCTTAAGTTGCTGAGAAAGTGCGGTACGAAACCGGTGAAGTTATTAGAACCGAGTTCGAGAATTCTGAGTTTAGAACAGTTAACGATGGAGTGTGGTATTTCTCCACTAAGGTAATTTACACTGAGGTAAAGTCCTTCGAGAGAGGGTAACTCGTAATTCATATTGGTAGGAAGACCGCCTGAGAAACGGTTATCCGAGAGTCCAAGAATTCGTAGATTCGACATGTTAAAGAGCTCAACTGGAATCAAACCGGTGAAGGCATTAAATTGTAAATATAGTTTATTCAGCTCGCGAAGTTTGCCAATTTCTCGCGGTAAACCACCTGCCAAGATTCAAAATTTATAGAAAATAATGCACTTCCTAAAATGGTCCACATATATGTATAAATTATAATGTATGAAAGGGTAAATAGGTAAATACAAGAACAGTTAGATACATGTTTATCTAAAATTCATGAACCTTGTTTAATATGATGCATGTACTACTTATAAGTTATACCTAGACTAGTATAAATAGGTGTAAAGATTGTACATGTAATTCAATAAGGTTTTGCACATGAGTAAAATATGTAGAAGGAGATACGAACTTCAAAATATTTCTTTGTTAATATTGTTCATATATTTCCGTAAAATATCGAACATATACATATATATATATATATATATATATATATATATATATATATATATATATATATATATATATATATATATATATATATATATATATGTATGTATATATATATATTATATAGAAGGTCTTTCGATCAATCACACCTGTTAAGTTGTTGGAGATGAGTTCCAAGGATTTGAGCATTGTAAGATTTCCGATATCTTTCGGGAGGCTTCCGGACAATTCATTGAGGTATAGCGATAGAAGTTGGAGAGAGGAAATATTGAAAATAGTTCGTGGAATCGAGCCGGTTAGATGATTCCTTTCAACGGCAAACTCGACCAGGTTCGGAAGATTGCCAATCTCCGCCGGGATAACACCTGGAAATTAAAAGGTTACAATATGTAAACAAAAAAAATTTAAAGGGACAATATATGTCAATCTATACTTGTGTAAGAATTTGTAGTAGTAGTAGTAGTAGTAGTATTTACCACTTAAATTGTTACCGCCGAGAAACAATCCCCGGAGAAATTTTAGATTGCCGATTTCTTTCGGTATTTGCCCACTAAATGAGTTGTAAGCCATAGCGATTATTTGAAGTTGCGAACATTCGGATAGATTCGACGGAATTTCGCCACTCATCTTATTAGTAGATAGGTAAATTCCTTGAAGAAGTGGAAGATTACTACACATATCACTTGGAAGATTACCGCTCAATTCATTTCCTGATAAAGCTATAGCTTTCAGAGTCGATATGTTAAATACGGGTGACGGTATATTCCCCGAGAGACGGTTGTATTGAATGCTCAAGGTTTGCAGCCTTTGAAGCATCCCAAACTCTCGTGGAATATCCCCTTCAAGAAAATTGAACGAAAAATCAAGAACTCGTAGATTTGTCAGATTAGAGAGAGAACTTGGTATGGAACCGGTAAAACTGTTATTTCGTAGGGAGAGAACCTCGAGTTTAGGTAGAAGTCCTAGTTGTGGTGGGATCGTGCCCGAAAGGTTCATGAAAGAAATATTCAGTGCGGTAACTCGATTATTGTGGGCCCCACAAGTGACGCCGATCCAACTGCAGACGGAGCTCGGATTTGTCCAGTTGGTTGTAATAATACCATAAGGGTCTAAAGTGATTTGGGATTTTAAAACAAGAAGGGAAGATTGATCTGTTGCAAGGCTAAGGCTATTGGTAGATGTTATTATGGCTAGAAAAATTGTAGTGTATGCAATATTGAAGTACGAGGTTTTTTCCATGATGAGGAGTACTACTGCAAAATTATTTGTTAAGTATGGTTGTATGTATTTATGTGTGTATGTGTTGAAAATTGAAATTTATTTTAGTTTGACCAAGTGATTTATTGGACCAAGTCAATTGAAAATAGGGCCATCATATTTAATTTCTTGTCAACTGTTACCTGTCCAGACTCAGATCACCTAACTTTTGTTTGTGATAATTAATAGTTTCTTAGAATTTTCTGCCGGCTTCTATAAGAAGAGTCTTTTGTTTCGTTTAGTTTTACACTAAGTCATCGTTTGGCTCGGTAGATTAGTCATTATTAACTGAATAATTGGATTGTATTTAATGTTTCGTATCTTTAATAACTTGTCGTGTTAATTCGCAAATATTATATTATCATTACTTATCTTATTTTTTAGAGAGTTTTTTCGTTGGACATCCCGAGACTGAATAGAATAATTGAGTTTTCATTAGATTATTTAAATTTATTTTGGCTAATCTTATCTTGACAAAAATGAGGCCTAATTGTTATAGTAGACTTGACTTTGAAGTCTTCTTTTCGGTGACTTTCTCGCCTCCAAAACAAGGGGCTCTTTGAGGAAACCATCTCATTATTTTTTTTAATAGAGAGAGGTCCAAAATATTTCTCTCCATTTGAGAAAAACCCATACCCATTTTGAGCTATTATGTTTTCCATCTTTGCCCGCGCCCGCCACATCATCACTGGGTCACGCGCTCAGCAATTTTTTTTTCCCCCCATTTTTCCGTTTTTTTTCCCCTTCTTTTCTGTACCAGTTTTCTTAATCGACTATGGAGCATAGTCGATTAGCCTTAATCGACTCTACTTCATAGTCGATTAAGGAAATTCTTTATTTTTATTTTTATTTTATTTTTATTTTTTAATTTTTTTTCTATATCAGTATATTAATCAACTATGATGAAGCATAGTCGATCAAAAGTCTGCTAAATAACAAATCAAAACTGCAAAAAAATGCAAAATCAACTATATTTTACAAAAAAACAAAAATATAAGAACATTATAATTGATTTATACAATTGGAATCAATAAACAAAAAAAACCAAAAAAAAAGAAGAAGATTGGAGTCGATCAACCTTAATCGACTACCAGAGCATAGTCGATTAAGAATCTGCTACTAAAAATAAAACAAATCACAACTGCAAAAATATGCAAAATCACCTATATATTACAAAAACAAAAAATATACAAACATTATAATTGATTTATACAATTGGAATCAATAAACGAAAAATCCAAAAAAACTAAAAAAAATTTGGAGTCGATCAACCTTAATCGACTACCAGAACATAGTCGATTAGCTTAATCGACTATGAATATGTACATAGTCGATCAAGGTTTCAGCCTGCGCGAAATTGTCTACACGCGCCGTTATCCGCCCAATCCACCAAAAACTCTGCCTCCCCATCGTCGCCACACCGCTGCCACAATACACTATTCAACCAATCCCTAACAAAGAATAAAATAAATAAATTAAACAATTCATACAAAAAGACACAAATTAACATTTCAATATCCACCAAAAAAAAAAAAAAAAAAAACAGAAACGATCCAAGTTATTTGTCAAAACCAACATCAAAAAATAATAATAATAAAAAAAAAAAAAAACAAATACCTTCACCAACATCAATTGCAACAGTGATTTTCTCATGCCTCATTCTCATGGCCGTCAACCCACAGCGTGGCCAGTCATCATCTTCAACGTCGTCGGTGGAAACCACCGCCGCGAACTACAGATCCATCACCACCCTTCACGCGGCGGCGCGAGGCGGTGACAAACACTCTCGGTCGATGTCTTGTTTTTTCTTCCTAATTTCAGTCGAGAAGAGACGAGAGACGAGAGAAGACGAGAAGAGAGAAGACGAGAAAAGAAGAAGAGAGAACGGCAGAAGAGAGAAGACGAGAAGACGAGAAAAAAAAAAGAGAGAACGACAATGGCTTAGGGTTTTGAAGAGATTTAATATTAATAAGGGTGGTTTGGAAATTCTTAAAATAATATTTGGGTAGGATATTAGGTAAGGGGGTTTTCTCTAATTATTTTTGGGAGGAGGTGTTTCCTTAACTCATTTTCTTAGATGAGGGGGTTCTTGCTAATTATCCCCCGAAACAAATTGATCATAAATAGTTTCGAAGTTCAAGTGCGAAACCAGGTTTTTTTAATCCAAAATGTCTGCAAGAGTTTCTTCGTCTAAAGATTTTCACAAATTTGATACAGAGAAGTACAAGACAAATGCAACTCTTATATGGTAATTTTATTGATTCATTTTAGGGCAAAGTTCACTTTGCAAGCCTGAATTATGGGATATGTTGCATATACACCACTTAATTACGAAACATACTAACTATCCCTCTACGTTTTCTGATCAAATTTATAAAATTGTAAAGACATTAGTTTTTTAATGTTTTGTTGTACAATTACAATCTTACTCCCACCTTTAGTCTATGACAAATATAAGTGAACTTTAGTACTTAGAAATATTTTAGCCAAAATAAGAAATACAAAGTCACTGTCTCCTTCATTTTTTTCCAACATAACTCATCTTGCCAACAATAGTTGTATGATTTTTTAACCAATAAGTAGCTTATTTTAATATTTATTAACTTGATCATATCTTTTTGTAGGTTATAATGGCATGTCAATTTTCTGTAATTCAAATCCATCATGGAAGTCGGTCGGAGTTTGATATGTTGGGGGTTAAACTTAAATTAAAAGATGTTTACCCTAGTTTGATATCCTATTTGTAAATACTTAATGTAATTAAAGAAATTAGTTCCGCTGTTACTAATGCGATTTGGTTTAATTTAGAGGAATTGAACTGGCACTTGACATTATAGTGAAATTAAGAGGAAATGAGGAAAAAAAACTAATTTCAAATGTAAGTATGAGAAAAGATAAAGGTAAAAATGAGGCACATTTAAATTTCCCGCCAACCCTTCGCACAAAATATATAGCCATCGAAGGATTAGAAAAGTCAGGAAAAAGGCAAATGCTGTAATAACTGCTGATAACAAGAAAGTCAAGAGATGAGGTTAGTATATTTAAACATAATTCAAAAGGTGAAGGGGTATTTGGTACATTTTGTATTAAGGGGTGTGTTTGTGACACATCCAAATTAAGGAATGCAAAGTGAACTTTCCCCTTCATTTTATTTTTTCCTACCGTCTTCTAATTATAGAAATATTACAAGTTTGAATATAGATAAGTTTGAATAAAACATACCATTATATTTTTTTTACGAAGCAAATAAGTATTTATATAGTAGGACAAATGGCAAATAGGCCCATGACAAGGGCACTTAATTAGAAAAGGGACATCCAACTTTTTTGTGCTGCAAATATATCCATCTCATTCAAACTTATTTAATAATAAGAAAACTCTTTCATATATACTAACATTGCCCCCAACTCCTTGAAATCCTACTTCAAACTCCAATTTCATGATTTACACTCCAATTTAGCCCAATTTCACCACTTAACCAATTTTGACCCCAATTTTGACCGTCGCCACCGGAGACTGCTGATCTCCGACGTTGATTTTTTTTTTTCCGAAAACTTTGTTTTCTGAATTTTTTTTCCGGCAGGTCAGCCTCGTTAACCGTCGGTCTCCGACGTCTTTTTTTTTTGACTTAAAAAAATATATTTTCATTAATATTACTGTCTGAGGCATAATATGAATGTATTAATTAATGTTATCGTCTTGCCCTGCAGTATTGCTGTCTCCGACCTTAATATTATTGTCTCCTGCAATAATATTAGTAATATTACTGTTTTGGCATTCAATATTACTGTCTCAGATAGTAATCTGGCTGAAAAAAAATTAAGATAAAATTTATTTTCTAAAAAAATAATATTTTTCAAAAAAATATGAAATTGGAGGTTAATGTGATATAGTTGTTTAAATCTAGGTTAATGTGCAATATTGATGAAGTTATAGTATTATTGATGAAATTGATAATAAATAAATTATGAGGGATACTTTAGACAAAAGACACGAAGATGGGTTTATTTGGGATATTGTTTTTTGTCTGGACCTATGTACATTTAAGTCCCTTTTGTCATGAGTCTATTTACCATTTGGCCTATTTAGTAACTACTGTTTAATTAATATTTCATAGTTTTCAATTGACAAAAATAATACTTAAATTCATACTTATTTAAATATCTCATTTTTTCAATGTTTTGAAAATCGGACCGGACCGGCCGGTCCGACCGGTTCAACCGCGAACCGCCGCCATGTCCGGTCCGGTTAAATGTGAAAACCCAAAAAGCCCAAAAACCCGGGTCAACAGCAAAAATCCCGGTTCGACCGGTAAGAACCGATAAACCCGAAACCAAGTCCGCAAACCGGTTTTCAGCTCAAAACAAAATATCAATGTCAGATCTACATCAATGGTGGTCGTAGGTGAATGAATCTTGACGGGAAAGGTTGTTGGTGAACGGATATAGACGGATCTGGGTAGTATCTAACCCAATCCAAGTTGTGGCCGCCATAACTTTCCACCGAGAAAAAGAAAACGAAGAAGGTGAAAGTGAAGTGTACAAAAAAAAATGCACATCCAAACATAAAATATTTTATCCAATCAAGAGTAACAAATCCGTAATGAGTAATAAAATGTAGGTAATTACTATTTTTATCAATTGAAAACTATGAAATATTAATAAAAAAAATAATTACTAAAAAAAGCTTATTTTCTTTATTAAGTAAAAAATATTTTGATGATATATTTTATTCGCTCCAAAACCATCCAACTCATTAGCCACATTTTTTTAGTTATTTTTAATCTAAGAATTAAATGTCAGCTCATTTAATCAACCACTGCATTACCTATTATAAGCAATGTTCTAAAAATCGGCCGAGGCGGCCGATTAATCGGTCTCCGAGGCGGTCATAAACATTTACGATTTTAGTGTAAATGTTTGAAAAATCGGTTTTTTGCCTGTGAGGCGGTTTTAGCCGGTCAAACCTTTAAGGTGGGTCAA